TGACTGAATCCACCCATTGAAATCCCTGCGCTCTCCTCCATTCACAGGTGGATGTGCTCCATAAACGAGACAAGTGTGGCAGCTGCTGATGTATATAAGAGCTGCACACCCGCTCTGGACAACAACTGTTGAAGATGTGGATGCTGCTCTGTGTCGCCGCCTTGTTGGGGCTCCTGAGGTCAGAGGGAGTACCCACTCCAGCTGCCCAGCAGCTTCAGAACCTCCACTGTCCGCCCTGTGAAAGGATCCACTGCTCCACCAGACGAGCCCTGAAGCTGCAGTGCAAAGGTGGTGTAACCACGGGCGTCTGCGGCTGCTGCCCAGTCTGTGCCAGGACAGAGGGCGAGACCTGTGGGGGAGCGTGGGACTACCTGGGCAAGTGTGACGAGGGACTGGTGTGTGTTTACCAGGACGAAGGTGAAGAGAAGGCAGGGAGAGAGAAGGAAGGAACCTGTAAAGCAGGTGAGAGGGTCTTTATTCAATAAGGCAGCAGCTGGAAATAATTCATGTTTTTTTAAACCATGAATTCCTGCATTTTGCAATTAGAAAAAATTCACAGGCTGTGGTCCTGAGATATAGGCATGGATGCAGCTGCACAGCAGAAACACTCATCAGCATCAGTTTTTATTACAGTATTTTATTAGATCCATAATTGCTGCTGCTGTCGTCGTTGTTGTTGTTGTTGTTGTTGTTGTTGTTGTTGTTGTTGTTGTTGTTGTTGTTGTTGTTGTTGTTGTTGTTGTTGTTGTTGTTGTTGTTGTTGTTGTTGTTGTTGTTGTTGTTGTTGTTGTTGTTGTTGTTGTTTTTAGAGATAATTTTAGAGCAATAACAGCCATAGTCATTATTATATCTGGATTCTTCTAGTGACCCATCCACCTGTGCCTCAGACAACGTTGATAAACCTGAGAGCAGATTTTGTTTTCAAACTGGTGGAAATATCCAGACGTTACCCTAAATACACCACCAGAGCAAGTGTACTGGGCTGGTATCAAACCCCCGACGTTTCTGCAGTGTGCAGGGAGGGAGCCAAAGTAGTAAACGTACTTTATGAGCTGTGAGGACTGATAGCATGGTCAAGGCTTCCTTTGAACCAAAGGTGTTGGCTCACACTTGAGCCACTTTTTACTCCTCTTATCTCCCTGTGGTGAAAGGAGTCGACAGCGCTGCTGATAGGATATCAGATTGGAGCGTTTCACTCCATGTTACCACTGGGATATGTAAACATTGAACAGTAAATGGAAACCCACACTTGTTATTGAATTCGGTTTCAAACGTGCTTTTTGCAGTTATTGGTCCAGTGGACCCAGAGACCTGTCACCCAGAATGCACCAGGGAATACTGTAGGAACCATCCCTCTGGACTCTGCTCAGCCAGGTGAGCTGTCCTTATTTCTCTTCTATGTCATGGTGATTTTCCTAAGTTGCATTCCAACGGAATTCTCTTTTCATGGCTCCGCAGACTCGTGTCGCTGGAGAAAAAGTCCTGCCAGGGCTCCTGCCAACACGTCTCCTGCTCCAGCTGCCTGCTGATCAAACCTCCGCCATGTCCTCACACCTGCAGCGCTTCGGACTCCACCTGTCTGCAGCGCTTTGGCAAATGTGTGCACCATCATCTGAGTCATAGCCCTGTGTGTCACAACAACCTGCAGGTGGGTGTCAGAAAAACAGGAGTTACAGCAGACACAGAAGAGCTTTGTTAAAACCACGATACCTTTTTCCATCTTTTAAACCAGCTGTCTTTACAGTTGAACCAAAACAAACTCCTTTACAACAGGAAAAGCACTAGTTCAAATTAGAGTTCACCTGGTGTCCCAGGGGTTTCTCACCATTTATGGAGCTGTAGCTTTTATAAAAATGCAATATAATTAATATATTATATAATTAATATAATATATATTTTTAATGCATAAGTTGGAACAGTGGTTCCCAAAATGTGGGGCACTGCCTCTTGAGACACGCAGCACTATTATGGTGTGGTCACAGCTGCAGTCTTGGAAAAGATCCGCAACAGGAGGCAAAGAATTCCTTTTACTGTGAAGTTTTTTTTTTTCCCCCACATTAACCCGTCTGTCTCTGTTGTTTTTCCACAGAGTAACCCTGAAGGGCATTTCCTGTGTTTGGTCCCAGACTGTCAGAGTACATCAAAGTGAAGGAATCCAGTGGAACTTCTCTGTCGGCTCATGTAGCAAAATAAAACGAGGCAGCTACCCGTTCTATGTCTGTCACATTTTTATGTCATGTAAACCTCCATTAATCGTCATGTTAAATTATGTGTTTTACAAATAAAGGTTTTATATCAAGATTCCAAAGTTCCACTTGATTTGTCACATGCACAGTTTTACATCTACATTGAAAGAACCACCAGTTCAGTCTCAACATCCTGTATGATGTTTTCCATCCAGCTTGAACCAGTATGGTTAATGAATATAAAAGTATACATTCCTGCATTTTGAAGTGCTTTATCAACACTTTAAAATGCTGTTTTACCTGTACAATACGTGGCACCTCATCATTATTTACACTGTGTCTCTATATGATATGCCTTGTTTTGATTGGGGTCTAAAAACAAGCACAGTCAGTGCAGTATGAGAAGGATTAGATAAAGGGTAAAATTATTGTAGAAATGTGATAAGTACAAAGGAATGCTGCAAGCAGCTTCTCCGTACTGCAGGCGGTCCACGACCCAGAGGTTTAAAACAGCTTGAAACTATGCATTTTGCAGTTCAGTGTTATTAAGACAAGATTCTGTTTAGAGAGATAAAACAAATATATGTATAAAGTAAATGTGGAGTAGTCAGTGTAAACTACTGTATTTCACTCACTCACACATTGTGTTCTATAACTTTAAACAATGTAGCCTGTAAATGGTGACAAGTCTTTCTAGACAGACCATGAAAACTGAACTAATTTGGACTGACTGGTCAAACTGTGCAGGTTTTTAAAAAAACAGAGTTACTAAAATGAATAGAACTAGTGCAGTCAAAATACTGTTTATCTGCACGGTTGGTTTGAAGTAATCGAAGGTTTTCTTGACAGCAGCAGAACTGCCTCAGTCCCCTCTGCCAGGGCTGCCCCTCTGATAGATGATGGTTATTGAATAACAGAGAGTTTATGAGGCAGCAATAATGACGTGTACAGAAGGGAAATAAAGTTTGGACCAACAATGAACAATTTGTTCTGTGTCCTTCAAAAGTGAGACATTTCTGGGGCGGATAGGGTTTTCTTTTATCTGACAGGTTTCACAAGAGTTTATTCACACTTGTTAGTCGTTACCTCGCTGACTTAATTTTATGATCAGTTTTCATCCAATATAAAAGAAAATACATGTTCAAGGGAATGTGCAAGGGTGAAAAATAACTACTTATGTTGATAATTCTATGTTTTAAATATTGCTGTTTCTAGTTAGAAAACAAACAGCATGATCCTTAGGAGAACCTGTGTGTCTATACATCAGCCTATGTGATACAGAACACACTGTAGTGCCAGGACCTGACACCAAAGCAGCCGCCTCTGTTATCAATCCCATATATCCGTCCGACTTGCTTTAACTGATAAAAGCAGAGGATAACAGAGACCTGTCTCGGTGCCAGCCGTCGAAAATGTGTTTCTGAATAAAACAAAAGCCCGAGGTTGAAAACTAGAAGAAACAAAAATCTGAATAAACACTAGTGTTGAAGGAAGACTGATTGTTAGTCAATGAGTAGTCATTTGAAGAATTACTTAACCTTATTGGAAAGAAACAGCACTTTGTCATCGCCACAGACAAAATTTAGCCTATTTGACAGAAGTTTTTCTTAATAAATCTTTGTTGTTTTTTTTTTTTTACAAAGGAAGATATTTTCACACCATTTCTGAACAGATTAATATATTTTTGAAATCCCCAACTGCATGAGAGCCATTGCAACGCAGTGATTGGCCAGTGAGGGTTTATGTAGCCAAAGTGAAAACTGATTGGCTACACAAGATCCAGTCTTTACTGATCAGGTGTTATTTTGTCCATGATTAAAGACGTTCCATACATTTATCATTTACACATAAACGGGGAATGTAAAAAAAGAATATTTGATGGATTATTATTATTCCTAAGGACATTTGAGTTCAATGTCAACTGTAAAATATAGATAAACATTTACTAAAAAAAAACAAGTCTAAAAAACAAAACAATGGACAGATAATTACCTACAGTATATATTTTAATAAAATCTTTGAGCACAGTGTAAACCCACAGTCTGAAGTCATCTATAAAGAGGTTTGCAAGTTGTTTCTTTTCCCCATTTCCCAATGAATACAGTATTTTTTTCAACAGAGAAGTTTTTTTTCAACAGAGAAAGTTAAGTGTGTCATGAAGTTAATAGGTTTGGTTTGAGTTTTCTTCAGTTGAAAGTCGATTTGGTTCATTTATTCAGAATGTGTCTCCATAATAGGTTCACAGACGTGGCCTTGATCACATGCGTATTTGGATGATGTGTACGTTCTGAACGTCTGTCTACTTTTGATAAAACTGTAATGTAACTGAAATGCATTGAGTTTTTTCACCAGTAACTTAGAACCTAACCCTAAATGTTAAAAAACCATGTCAAAACAGAGTCTAAACACTGTCTAACATTATTAACATTTGTACAAGAACAACTGAACTTCTATTCAACAAAGGAATAAAACTGGACAGCAGCTCTGTAGAGTAGCTTCCATCTGATGAGACATCTACCCTCAGCCCAGACAACAGCGTAATGACGGTGTAGTGTGGTAAAAGACCAGAACATGTGTAAAGGGATACAAGATTAAAGGTGCGTGTGTTTACTGTTAGGGTCTCCAGTCGGTCTGAAGTCTAAAGGCACACAGGACAACCTGATGTCCAGACTGTGTCTCCTGAAGCCTCATCATCTGAAGAGTCTGTTCCAGAAGCTTAGGAAGGTGGTGGAGTTAAAGGCACCGAGGAAGAGGAGCAGCAGAAGGTAGAGACTCATCATGATGGCAAAGTGGTGTCGCAGGAACCAAGAGCTGCTGCGGGAATGTCTGGAAAAACAACAAAAAAAAAAAAATTACAAAACAGTGGCATTGTTCTGTTTTTTCCAGCCAGTTTGAACACTGTCCCAGTCACTCAGTCATTTGATTTATTGACTAATCCATTGATGTTGGTAACATGTTAGTAAAATGAACATTGTTATTGTAATGTAATGTTGTAATGTAATTGTAAACGTCTTGTAATGAAAAATACAAACTATAGCTACTCCACTTTGCTGACTAATCACCACGTTAGCGTCCACTCTGATAGCCAAGTATGAGTTCTGACAAAATATCAAGGTGTAAAACAAGTTCTTTATTTCTGTACTAAATATGAATATTTCACATTTGTTGACAGTTAATTAAATAATTCCGGTTTGTGGAAGTAACCAAGTCATTTTGTATTCTAGTATGATCAAATATTCTGTTTGGAACCAGTGAACCCGTAAAAGTTCTATCCAAATAAGTTCTAAAGTTACAATCAATTTTCCATATTTACAAAAATATAAAAAAGTCATCAAAACAGTTCATCACATGGTCATGTATTTAGTAACTGTCACTGTCAGTACCTGGACAGATGCCTCTTCTCAGAGTAAACTAACAGGTACTTCACACGCACAAGCTGATTGTTGGTGACCACAAAGTACTTCTGGGGAACGTCTCCACCTTCACTGTTCTTGGCCCTGGAACGCTGTCGGTCGATGACTTCAGAATCTAAAATGATGATGATTTTTTTAAGTCGGGATTTTTAAAACTTTCATCATCTGTATCCCACACATAAAACATCTGATGCCTACCTTTCTTTTTCACCTGGCATTTCACATCAGGGTGGTCAATGACTTCACACAAGGCCACACAGCTGAGCAGTGGGCCCAGGAGGCTTTCTGTCCAGCCGCTGCTGTGTGGGCTGTAGAGGAGAGCCATGCTGAGATCACTGGTGAGGTAGGTCCCCTCTCCAAACACTGAGTTCTGAGAAAATAAAAATATTAAAAAAAAAAAAAGCTGTTTAAACTTTGTAAATTGATCAGGGGCTTTTAAAGGTACAGTTGTGAGAAACCCCAAACCCCATCCATCAGCTATAACATGCTAACAACAATGGCTGCACACACCTTGTTAAGGTGACAGTGAAGCCCATTGTGAATGATCGAGTGGAAGTTCTCCAGACGACTCCCGTGGAATGCATAGAATACGTCACGTCCATCCCTAGTCCGCTCAAACCTGGCATTCATCAGGTCACAGTATTCCAACTCAAAGAGAAAGTCTGGCACAGGAGCGGTAATCCCTTCATTTTCTGTCAAGCTGCAGAGTTTTGCATACTGGAGGGGAAGGAGAATAACTCTTAAAAAAAAGGTTCATAAATATCTTGACATATTTGTACGGTTTAGAACGCACATCTTCTTTTTGTAGTGTCTTTACAGCAAAGCTGTTAGAAGAGAGAATCCAGTGTGTGAGAGCCAGATGGTGGTCTCCCTCTCCAGGTCGCAGTCTCACCAACTCTCTCACACCAGGCAAACATTTTACACCTGCCAACTGAAAGACACACATTTAACTATAAGATAATCACACATTTATAGCAGCCCAACAACATTGAATAAAATCCACACAATGACAAAGTCATGTTTGCATCACTCTAGGAGAAAACAGATACAAGCCACACTAATTATCAATTGGTGCAGTTAACAGAACAGGCCAATCACAATACAGGCACACGATGAATAAAAAAATAAATGATTTTTCTCTCTTGTGTTGTGTGTGCACTTTGGAGAGCAGCACATTAACAGGCTCATGCGTGCTGATTCACTTTCAAAGAACAAGGTTTCTCTTGCTTTATTTATTTCCTGTAAGTCTTGTTATTTATCTTTAATGGCACATTACTGCCATCATGTGTTCATGTCTCATTTCACCAGAATCAACACCAAGTAAAAAAGTATTTTGCTCAAGTTTGAATCAAGGTATTTAGGTCAACACATACCATTTTCACATACCATTTTGATTATTATAAATTTATTTATTATTATAAATATGTTTTAGGCCCTACCAGCTCCTCAAAGTCCTTATTGTCACCACTTGTATATCTGGGAGGGAAGGGTCTGAGCAAAGAGTCTCTCTTGTAATGTTGTGCAGCAGCAACAAACAGGCTGCAGCGCAGATCTGCTGCCACCGGGTCTCTGTGCAGACAGGAGCACACCAGCTCTCTGATGGCTTCAGGTGGGAGCGGAGGCTGCATTCCCAGCTCTGCAAACAATTCAGAAACAAAAACTACTGTACGGCTGAAGTTAGGAATAACAGAAAAAAACATTACAAATGTTGGGAGGCCTAAATAAAGAAAGTAAAAGAACCTTTTAAGCGACAATCTGAGAAGAATCTTCACACAAAGCCAAAGAAAATGTAAAAATGTTGCAATATTGATATTGTTGCAATATCAGCATGTGTAGTAGTCTAAATGAAAATATGTTTAAACAACAATAAATCTATTTTATATCCAGGGACTTTATAAACAGCTTTACTGAAATACACTGTCGTTTCAATTACAGGTTTGATTGTGTCGACAATCTGCTAAATTTTAAATATAATTTTATTTTTTAATTGAAATTAAGGTATTAGTAATCTTTAACAAATTAGTTTATAATTATATAACTAAGCTTATCTAAGTAATCTTTAACAAATTAGTTTATAATGTAAGCTTATCTATAGTACACGGGCTACTTCGTTGCCACGTTGTTGGTAATAGAAGGGGGCGGGGCAGAAAATGGCTATTTAATGAAACAATGACAGATTACTGATGATTGGTTGTTTGATATGAAAAAAAAAGTTCTAGTGTACTACTAATAACGTCACTACTGTAGGGCAGGGAACATGTTTAGTGGAATAAAGTGACTTTTTTAAGTTTAGGCTCTTTTTAAATTAAGTAAAAGATACAGAGACATAACTGAACTTGTGTTTCTTTGAAACATGGTATAAAGAGTACTCTGGGGAAAATGTTGCAGATAAAGCTTCCAAGCATGAAGAAAAGAGGGAAACTTCAGATAAAATCGTGTACTTAATGAAGAAGGACACGTAGCTGGTGGATGAAACAGTAAACAAGGCAAAAAAAGAGGGAGGTGATGAATCTACAACTTCTAGAAGGCTAAGTGCCTTTACAATAGTCGGTTTATAACTACAGACAATGCAGCACGAGTCTGTGAAATGCTGGATTAAAAAAAGAATGTGAAAACTAACGTGTCAGTAAATGTTTCGTTAATTAACATAAGTTTAAGAATTGTTTCTGTGGGAGAGGCTATTATGCTAACATTAGCTAAGTGACAGGATGTGCCATCTTCCGCCAATACTCTCCTTAAAAACCTAAACTTCGACTATGTTTTAAATTAAACAAGTATAAAAATGATTATATAAACAACGTAGAAGAGGTTTGTGAAATGTGTGTCTTATGTTTTGGTATTTATCGTTACCTTGAGTGTAGCTCAACTCATAACACCGGATGAAGAGCCAACGTCAGCATCAGCGACCGAGCGTTGCGTTCAGGTGCCAATAAAAAGTAGGAACTTCTCAAATTTTAGTTAATAGGTAAACGGAAATGAGGTAGTCAGTTAAAAAAGTATTTTGGTTGGCATTTAAAAGAGGGACAATGTGCTTTAAAATTACGTAAAAGCATCATACGTTTGCTACATGTATACAATTATATGTATTAAATATTGTATATGTATTTAAACACGTTAACACAGTTAATATATTACACCTTCTAAGATTTTTTGTGTATATTCCACTGCATTGCTTCTGTACGTAGCAAGACTTTGTATTAGCAGAATCTCTGCAGCTTAATGCAGATTTTTGGTGCAAAACACCAATTAACTGGATAAGGGACATTATATGTTTCTGTACCTTTTGGCATTGAAAGTAGTGCTTCTCAAAGTGTGTGGCGCGCCTTACTGGTGGGAAACGGAAAAAATAATGTTGTTTATTATGAACTACTTCTTTGTTTTTTGAACATTGGACGTTTATTTGACATTATTATACATTATGATACTGCGTCGTGTTAGTTCAATACATTTGAAATGTAATTTGTCAAGATATTTGTTAGGCGACAGGGTAGGTGGGGTTTTGTGAAAACAAGTTTGTATTCTGTGTGATCTGTTGCAACTTTCTTATTCATTGATTGTTAAAAACAATGAAACTCTTTTTTTGAATTCTTGTTGAAATTTTATCCATTTTGCTAGATTTCATGTGTAAAAATAGCAGCTGTTTCTTCTTTTGTTTTGAGTTTTCTCAGCTAGGAGGTATTGTAGCAGCTACTGAACTATTAATTCTTGCAGCACAAATGGCTTCACTTAATTTAATTATATTTTGTCATGCTAGCTGTCTGATTAGATTTTGTCTTATAATAAACAGCAGCTGTGGGGGCTCTTCACACTTTCAGCACTGTGGACAGCATCGCGGGGGGCGGGATTTAGTCAAACAGCCCTGCTTTGTGATTGGTCGCTTCCGAGCAGTAACAAATCCCATCTCTTTTGTGTTTTTTTCCTCGGGACTTTGGTTCTATTAGGGCGGCTACGGCAGCGTCGGTATGTGCGTAAAGAAAAGACCTTACGTCACGTGACACCCTTTTACTCTCAATCTGATAATTTAAGGAAAAGTCGACAGTTTTTAACATATCTATCCACAAGGCAGCTTTGTTTCTTCACGCCAGTGTTTTTTTTTTCACCCACCAATTGTATTCCTTAGGATGGTACCGAAGGTAAGAGCGAAATTGTAGCCTGAATCCCGGACCAAAAAAGCGGTAAGACGTTTAAATGGCTGCATTTTCATTCATTTTTACCATCCATCAATCCATCCACCCATACAAGGGTTAGTAGGGCTAAGAATTGCGTAATAACATGTTTAATCTGGGTGAGGTTTAACAGCGGGACTGCGGAATTGACCTGCTGTTTGTCCGGATGATTTGGAGGCACAGATGAAGGACGCTTCCCCATCGTCTGTGATCACGATGCTCTGCGTCTATCGGTGTATTTGTGTGTGTCCTCTTGGAGCACAGTTGTAAACAAATAACCCATTTATTACAACAAGCAAGAAACCAACATAGATGTGTTTGTGTGTGAGGTCAGTGACAGAGATTGTTTTTTTGTGTTTGGCAGAAAGATGTCCTTCACAGCTACAGCCTGTGCCATGCTACACAATCACTACTGTACGCTTTTCAGTGTTCGTTAACGTAGTCATACTGCAACGGAAATAATGTGTTTTTATATTTTATCAAAATACAGCCTTATAACCGAGCAGCCTATGAGTGAGGTTGGCCTACAACACGCCTGTGCTGCGTTCAGAGGTTATAAATACATTGTAGGCCACACCGGTCCTGAAGATACAACCTGGCAGTAAGACGTGAAAGACGTTCAAAATAATTTAATTAATATCGACGTAATCATAATGAATATGGAATGCACGTTAAATCACAGTGAATATTAACTGTATTAACTAAAATTATTGAAATCATTTTGACAAGGTTTCTCTTCTGGAGTATCATCCACAGATCGTGCGGCGGAAACGGATGCAGCATCTATTTGTTGCTCTTTGACAACTAGAGAATGTCTATCGGAAATATTGGAAATTATATTATAATTATTTTCCCAAAGGGTTTAAATGTGTCTTTGCGGAAGATTACCACACTTTTATTCTAATCCCAAGGATTTGAAAATTGATTTTGATTCAATATTAAAAGCACAAAATGAAGCTGTAATTTTTAAAGTCTTTAAAGGTTTTGAATAATCACCTTTTTGAATTGATGGACTCAATGTTTATTATATAATATGGGTTTTACAGAAGAATAATTAATTTCCGCTTGACCCTTCATCAGGAGTGACCATAGTGGTAGTCTGCATTGATTTGGTGAGTTCTGATGTTGGACTAGATCAGGCCTCCAACTTGGTGGGGGTCATGCCCTCTACACCACTTTTTTACTTTTTTTTACAAAAATATTTGGTTCATCAGGTTTACAAAACAGCCCATTCCCAAACATCTGTATGGTTGGAGAAAACATGTTGTTAATGTCGGAGTAATGACTGACGCTCCTTGATGTGCTAATAGCCTCAGTCAGCACCTTTAATCAGATGCGGTGTGTTTGCTGACTCCTGTGTTTCCTCAGATGTCTACAAGTTAACACCTAATAGAAATACTCTCTTGTTTGCAGTTTTGTTTTCAAGAAGAGTTGATATACCTGTTTGTCAGTGGAGAAGAACATTGAGTGATCATCATGGCAGGTAGGCCGTTCACTCCTGTTGAGAGGATGTAACGTGAGAGTGTGGAACATTTGGACTGCTGGGTTTTTGTTTTCTTCTGATGTTTAAATTTCATCTGTCAGACAGTGATGTTGACTTGAAGTCTTTATGAATCCAGCGTGGACAGCCGGGTTGAACTGCATCTTTGTATTACAGAAAACAACTTCCCTCCTCTGCCTCGCTTCATCCCCCTCAAGCCATGTTTTTACCAGGACTTCAATGAAATCCCTGACCAGCGTCGCACCATGTGCAAACGGCTGTACTATTTGTGGATCTGTGAGTTCTCCCCTCTGTTGGCCTACACCTTAGTTTTACTTCAAGTCACATTGTAATTGTTTCGTGTTGCCAATGTTGCTTGTGTATGAGCCATTAATCCACACAGTTCACTCTGTTTTACCATAAATATTATGATATTCCAACAAAACGGACTTCAGTAAGGCTGAAAGACCCGTCAGTCTGGTCTCACTGCTCTACTGGATTGGACCAAACAGAGGGACATTATTTATTATCATTTGCCTGAGCATTTGACCATTTTACCACTTAAAGAAAGCATTTAAAAACCTAATGATTACGTTTATTAAGAAAGTTAAGAATCTTGCAACAGACCAGATAAAATACATTTCTATCCATTTTTACCAAAAGAGACCTCCCATCTATGATCACTCGTAGCGTGCAGGCTTCTTCTTCAGCTGGTCAGCAGATACAGGAAAAGGAAAAGGAAAAGTAGTGTAGTAGTCACGTGTGCCCCTCCCTCCTCAGTTTTTAACTGTCACCTAAAAATAAACAATATACATAGGAGAGCTGCATTGGTGATTCTTAGTGTCCATTGAACAGACTGAGTAGAATGGATTAGTCAGATTTAATAATATAATGAGTGTATTTGATGAAAGATCCAAACATTTTCATGTTAGATGCTCCAGTTTAACGACTAGAAACTAGGAAATAATTGCTCCATCACTTATAATTGCTTGTATAATAATAGTAAACTACATCATTCTCAGACATGTGATAATCTTTTTCATTATCATCTAGGTTGCCTTTTGAAACCATAAATGTAAGTTTTGGTATAGATATTTAGATAGAGCTTTAGATAGTAGAAACTGAGTGCTGTATCTAGATGAACTGTAGCTGCAGTTTGATTTCCTTCTTCACAGTTAAGTGTATCCTTGTAAATATTGATGAGATGAGACATTATGTTCATCCTTCTGCTTGTCTATGATGCTGACAGTGAACAGCGCCACTCTGGCTTTTAATCTGATTGGTTGTCTTGCCTGGATGTGCGGCGGTGGAGGAGCGACCAACTTTGGCATGGCCATCCTGTGGCTCATCCTCTTCACTCCATGCTCCTACGTCTGCTGGTTCAGGCCAATCTACAAGGCCTTCAAGTAAGAGGAGTTCCTTCTGACCATTTGTCACCAGTGTCTCAACAACAATGAATGACAAAGGGTTTTCTCTGTGCAGGACTGACAGCTCCTTCAACTTCATGGCGTTCTTCTTCGTCTTCATGGCCCAAGTTGTGATCAGTATCATTCAGACTGTGGGTATTCCAGGCTGGGGAGTGTGGTAAGGTTTTCATTTCACTCACTGATGCCAACTGTTGACATATATTTACAGACATGTGACATATGTTGCTCTATTGGTATAAAAACTTCAAATCAATCACTCAGAGAGGTCATCCTCCATTAGCTGTGTTTACAATTGTGACACCTATCAAGTGATTACAATGGCTATCAAACAGCTAGGAGAACTTCTCATACAATTTCTTGTTATATTTATAGGCTTATTAAATATATTAAACAGGAGCAAAAGGTTCCATTTCTATCGTCTAAAAGCTTTATCCTAAATTACTCACAAGTAAAAGCACTGTTTTGCCCCATACACTACACGTCAGAGTTGATGTGAAGTCTAACTTTAGCTGTGTGTCTGCAGTGGTTGGCTGGCGACCATCACCTTCTTCAGCACCAATGTTGGAGCAGCTGTAGTCATGCTGATCCCCACCATCATGTTCACTGCAGTGGCTGTGCTCTCCGTCATCGCTCTCACAAAGGTGACTAACCGATCCTGTTGGGTTTGAGAATGTTTATATTTCTTATAATTCTGTTTACTCAGACCAAGGACTTGCAGAATAACGATGTCTCTTCCACAGGTTCATAACTTCTACCGTGGCAGTGGAGGCAGTCTGGGGAAGGCCCAGGAGGAGTGGGCCACCGGAGCCTGGAAGAACCCCCACGTGCAGCAGGCAGCTCAGCAGGCAGCCATGGGAGCAGCTCAGGGAGCCATGCAGCAGAACCAGTACTCAGCAGCTCCCACCTACAACTACGACGAGCCAATGTAGGACAAAGGCGGAGCCTGTCTGCTGAGTGGCACAGATATAAAGGGATCAATTAAGAACACAATTCAGGATTAGGTGCCCTTCATTATAATGTGTTAGTGGAATTCTGAACACAACAATGTAGAGAACAGTCGTGTTTTTTTGGGGGAGGGGTCAGCGATTTATTCAGTTCACATGTAAGTCAGCCTGTTTTTCTTGAAATCTTTTATGCAGCACAGTTTTAGCCGGTCATCGTGTGTGGCTTTGTTAAGGAGACTCCCACAGCATACATATAACGTACATATAACAACTGTCATTCCTCGGAGCTTCATCTCTTTATTCCGGTGGACTGATCTGAGGTCAGTGCAGGGTGACGTCTCTGCCTCTGCCTGTGCCACTCCTTACGATGCCTATTACTCATCTGTAATGTGTTTTCAACAGTATATCTGTCATGTGTTAGACTATGTATTTTTCTTCACCAAACTCCTGAACTTGTTAATGTTTTCAAGGAAATATTCAGGTCCAATATTCAGCCGACATAATGTTTCAGCATGAGGGGAAATTCATTTAACCAAGTATATTTGATATATTTGATCAAACAAAGAACTGGCAAACCTATATACACAGTTCACATAAATTAGTGTGAACAGACAGCCATTTACCTCTGCTCTGTTCTGACTGTTCTGACTTTCTGACTGTCTGGATAAATCCAGAAGAACTGACACAGCCTAATTACCTCCTCTGGAGTGATGCAGTCATAGGTATCTGGGTCCAGTACCATCTGTTTCCCAGATTCCAACTGTGTCTCTTAAAGGAACAGTTATGGTTGCGCTATATTTGTAATAATAATTTGTACATGTTTAGGGAGAAACTGCACAGTCTTACAGTCTGTGTTTACAGGTTTGCTTTATCGTACACGGGCTGTATTTGCTAAATATTTGGTCAGAAAGAACAAATGTATCTATAATGGCACAAAGTATTTTGTTTAGTACGCATATATACTGCAGTATTGTATGTTAAAATGAACAGTTCTTCAAAAAACAGGAGTAGTCGAAACAGCTTCTTGTAAGACGAAGAGAAGTTAACATTTCTGTAAGACACTGAGAAAACAGGGAGTCAGAATAAAGCAAAGACAGGCAGAGGTATTTCTGTGTGGGGTCGAAGTGGGTGAAATGTCCACTTTGTACTAATGTAGCCCAGGTTAAAACATGGTAAGGTCTGTGGACCAACAGAAACATATCTAAGTCTAGCTTTTAATATAAATAGGCCAAATTCAGGCCGTACTTGCTGTGGTCAGCAGTACGCCTCTTGCTGTTCATTGGCGTGATTTTCGGTTTCCTACATAGTTTCAGTTTCACTTTCAGTCTCGAGAAACTCTGCGCTAGTCCGCGTCTTTGGTCTTGAATATTTAAACGGGGGTTGTTTGATTTTGCTGTGTAATTAATGGACAGGCTGACTTCAGTTTAGTGTCCGTGTTAAAGTGAAGCACACGCCACACCGAGGGGTGTAGTTCTTTGGATATAACATTCCAGTCTAACATCGTACAGGTGAAAACTTAACTTATTGTCAGTATGCTGACTTTACTGACGGTCACAGTCGTCTCCCTCTTTATGTCTAATTCTTCCCCAACACCCTGTAGGTGAGAAGGCCTCGGTGGCTCTTTGTGTCTGAAGCACTGGGTTTTCAGCCTCGCTGCATCATTGTTGTGGTGATCGTTATTTCATGAGTAGGTGTGATTATGGTGTATGTATAGAAGAAAACAGGATTTAAATTTAAACCAATCATTTTAAACATGGGGTATTTATGTGTGTGTGTGAGAGAGAGAGAGTGTGTGTGTGGCCTTTGTGTTCAGAGTGTCATGATGTTTTTTTCAAAGAAAAGGTGAAAAAAATAAATTCCGCGTGTGTCACTTTAACTCTTCACCACAGAATAGATGGTAATTACAGTAATTCAGTATTAGACCGAGACAGATGTGAAGACACGTCTGGATGCTCGTTATCCCCAAACCTGTGTGTCGTCTTGTTTGATTGTGTCGATGTGGTATTGAATAGTGTCGTTTTAGTTCTTTTTCAGTTTTTGTACTGAACTCATTTTATCTGTGTATTTCGGATGAAGAAGAGTGTGGGAGTGTAGAGACCGTCCTGCCATTGCACATTTGGTTGTATGTTTATTTCACGGCGTTTACCTATCAACATCAATGCAATGCATCTTTACAGCCAATCACAGTGTAGCGATACTAACACAAGTATGTAGAGTAGAATTAGGAGGTTGCAGTGTGTTCCTGTTGCTCAGGCCTCAAATCCAAACAACACAGAGGGTGGTGAACTGGAGGAGTGAGGCCTGTGTTTCCCCAGGTTGGACACCACTAGTGTATAAATTCACATTTGCATAACATTTTCACCAGCAGATGCATCACCTGTGGTGATGAAGTCTGGCTCTGTAAAGCAGCCTGGTCGTGAATGCAAAAAAGTTGAGCTGAAGGATGAATTCTGACATGACCCGCTGTGGTTTTGTCCTGGAGTTGCACTGGACGTCGGTCCTCATGTCACTGTAACAAAGCTTCTGTAAACCATTTCTTCTTCATGCCCCCTACCTGTCCCCCCGCCTCCCAGGCTGTGTGATGTTTGTTGTTTGATATGTATTAATCTGTACTGTATCATAAGTAGATATAAATATATATAACTTGAGAATGAGGTAAATATTGACCATGGGTAAACCTGCTCTGATTCAGTCCATAGATCATGGAGGACACCGTCTCCATAAGTGCAGTGAATGAGAAAAACATTTTTGTGGATTACTTTTGTATTATTTGGTCTTATTCTAATAGGTATTAAACAGTTCTTGTTGCACCTCATTTCTAATTCAATGACTTTGCACGTGTACACACAAACACACAAAACGGGTCTCCATTTTTAGAATGCTTAAAAGTCTTTGTAAAATGCAATAAAAACAAATTCTTAATGCACTTTAAATTTTATTTTTTTCAGACAACAGGAGGATTTTTTTTTTCACAGACTACAGTGGAGCAGTGAATTCCTGCCTGCCATGCAGAAGGTACCAGGTTTGATTCCATCGAATCTCTTATTGGGTTTCACCAGGAATGGCATCTGTGTAAAAACTGCCAAACCCTATGTGGTGACTCCTGATGAAGGGACAATAGTAAAGTGAGTTTGCTGACTATACACAATTCTATTAGCTGATGTGAACAGATATCTGCAGCAGAAAACTTGAATTGTTTTTGTGGTGCTCTTCAAAGGAGAACTGTGTCACGTTCAATTTATGATCACAACAAACAACACATTGCTCACAAATGGGCAATGTGTTTTCAGTGAAGTGTCAACTCTGGTGACCACAATACAGAAACAGAGAGAAGCACTGAGGAAAAAAAAAGAAAGCTAAAGTGCAGTAATCTTAAAATTCTTTATTCATAAACTTGATGCAAGTTTACAAATTACTGTACATGGCCAAAAACTTCTTCAAATGTAAAATGAGAAAACCAAAGCGAGCCAACGGTTGCCAGTCTGGTCTGTGTGTCGGTGCCAGGAAATGAAATCACAATCAAGGTAAATGAATCTGTTCAATGCAAAGTCCAGTTAGAGAAGTGTGCAAAGTCTAGTTCACCCAGACATTGTCTATCGAACCTGAATCTGCTCTCAGTCTGAACATCTGACCAGGGTTTAGCATCAAGGGGTGGGGGGTCACAGAAGGGTGACGGCTCTGGAGCAGACTTTTAAACCTTAAACTATTTCAAACTTGTTTTCATGGTGCAGATTTTGTGTGCTGCCAGACAACACGGGCCACGACTGCGTGACGAGAGATATTGATCAGACTTGATGAATGCTCAGACACAAATGTACAGAGACCTGCTGCCGACATTTTTGCTATCAGGTTAAAAAAAATATATATCAAGGATCATGCACCAAAATCAATTCAGTGCTTTAGGGTAAAAGCATTTGAAGACAGTTTTGGGGTTTGGGGTGAGCTAATTGTGTTGACCGTGCAGTCCTGTTAACGTGTTGTAAAACTGGTTGACATCGTCTGTGAGCGCCTCCAAACACCCGTGGAGCAGAGCATCGACACATCAGCGTTTCCACAGTGCCCTCTAAGGATCGATTGTTACCTGAGTTGCCATTTAAACATGCTTTTTGCAGACAGTGTTAACAGCAAAAATAAAATGCAGAAAGAGAAGCAGACTGACTGACAGTGTGTGTGTTTCCCGCCATAGGTAACAGCAGGACTGATGGTGCACTACAGTATATTGCAAGGTCAAAGGTTAAGTGCACTGCCTCAATTAGCTTCCGGTGAGTTCTTTGTCACATGACAATTCTTTTCTGTTACACGCAGACACCTGATGACACGTGCGTTAGCGAGGAAAAGAAACCAAAGATGAGCTCCTGACTGAGGAAGCTGGAACAGCAGTGGAGGTTAAGTGACGCGGCGACTGTTTCAGTTTGTAGCTGGTCAGGTGTAAATGATTACAGTCCATGTGAACCACACTGAGACACACTGCACAGCTGTAAGGACAGGGGAAAACGGAAAATCCTTAGCTCTCCAACAGAAGCCAATCTCAAAGCAGCCACTGAAAAGTAGAAGTGATGAATTTAATCTTCATTATTTACAATTGAAAAGAGCTATTGGCCAAATTCTTCACACTGCCCCCTTATGGTTTTAATTTGATGCCAAAACAGGAAAAGGTTCCACCAGCTGTTCCACTTTGAAGCCAAACACAAATGCTAACAGGGCTGAGAATAATGATGTCAGCTCAGCACACAGACGACCACAACCTCAACCACAGTCAGCTTTAACCAGAACACCAACAGTTCATCTGAGGCCTGTGTATTAACATAAATAAGGCGTAAACAGGCCGGTGAGGACTGTCAATGTGATGTCATCTGACGAGGACACACCGTCTTTCTAAGACAAGAGATGCAGAGATATTTCAAATCCACTCCTGATTGTGTTTGGAGACATCGTTTGACAAGCCAGTGCTATTTCACATCAGCCTCCACACATTTCCAAATGTACGCACTAACAGACCCAGAGTGGCCGGTCGTTTCTTTTTTTAAATATATGCTGCTAAAAGATCAGCTCACTTGTTGCCTAGGATTCAAAATAATAAAAACTGCCCGATCACAGTTCTAGAACAATACTTACCATGGTGTACCACAGACACTTTAAAAATCAAATAATAAAACAAACAACAGTGAGAGTCCTTTTTCATAGCTTTTGTATCGATCACTTCATAAAATGCTCATTCAGAAGTTGTAACTGACGGGCTGTGAGGCCAGATTTGATGTTTAAAAAATAAAAAATAAAATAAAAGTATTCCCCTACATTAAAAGGGATAAACGTCTCAAAGACAAATGAGCATGAGTAGGAAACAGGACCTGTGATACCCTCGCATCATTCTCCTTAAACACAGAGGGGAAAAAGCAAAGCGACACCAGAGTTTGTCCTGCAACGCGGCGAAGGAATAGTTGTCAGAGGAGCCAGCCAGATGATTTCCATGAGAAAGATGATACATTCCCAGTTAAGTCTGATAGGGAAAATATTCCAAACAACACAAGTTACTTTGACCCAGAGACGTGTTCCTGTGCATAGCGATAGCAGCTCCTTAACCGTCCTCTTTAGGCGGTGTGTACCAGCCTGCAGACAAACAAACAGAAATAGTGTTATACTGACAAAACAGAGAAAAAGAGGTTTCAGAGACACCTTTTAGAAAGACACCAGTAGTGTCTTATTAAAAAAGGACATGGACGACCTTCCTGTACATGCCATTGAAACATTTTAAACAGGATGGACCACAGTTGATAACAATGCGCTAAACGTCACAATCTAAAATGATTGTTCCTCAAACTGCCATGACTTAGATGTAGCACAGGTGAATGTAAAGAGAACAGACTTGATTTCGTGTCCAGATGTGTCCATGTTACCAACATAGATAAAACAGTTGGCGTCTGAATAGATCTGGAGGAATCATCCACGTACATGATGTGTTGGAAATTTAAAGAGAGAACGTTTAGTATCTGTGAAAAACTTACCATTCTTTTCATGAATCTGCACAAGCGACTTGTATGACTGTTGTGCTCTGGCAAGATTGTACTGGTTCTGAAAAACAACCACAGCTGTCACTTCATGTTTGCAATATTACATCATTTATACACCTTGATTTTTACACTTCACCTGAAACATGTGGCTCAGAATAACCATGTTGTCATGTGTAATGTAACAAACTAACATTCTGCATTCTCACCTTGAACTTTATCTCTAGCAAAAGAGATGCCATCATGTAAATAACCGTGACGTTAAGTTACCTTATTGGCTCCGAACTGCACCCTGGCTTTTCCCTTGACCAGTGTTGCATTTATCTGCATAATGACAGATTCTATGGAATAGGCACTGCTCCAGCCCTGGAAGATAAAGAGTCACGTCACACACACATGTATTAGACCACAATGGGAAAAAGGTTCTTTAAATTCTTTTGGCAAACCTGTTTTGTGAGAAGCTCCATACACAAGGCCCCTCCTCCTAGAACATAACTGCAGGAGAAAACATAACATGGAAATAAAACACAAAACCCAAACATTTTAACTCCAGCCAGCACGGCTGAACTTGTCAGGGAATTAAAACATTTTTGATGTATTTTATGGAATTATTTTACTTGATGACTAATCATAAAAATTATTTTTTAAATTTTTTGATAATAAATATTTGTTAGTTGCAGTCTTTCTTAAGGTGATGATGATTCAGGGTTTTTATTGTCGGACCAAACCTCAGCCACTTGATCCGTTTCAGGATCCAAAGGGAGTCTGAAGCCAATCACAGTGAGGTGTGTGGTGCCTGGACTGTTCACCAGTCCATCCCAGGGACACATACAGAGACCCACAACCATTCACACTCACATTAACCTTTGGACTGTGGAACTGTTCCAACAAGGTTAATCCCAGCACTTATTTAAGACTGAGGCTCAAATACACCCAGAATGGCAATTTGCATCTGTGTGTGTGTGTGTTGGTTTGCTGTATGGTTAACGTTAGACATTGCAAACCTCATAATTAAAGGATGCGGCCTGAGCTTCTAAATAAACAGTTGAAAATGCACTGAAACTTTTTTACCTAGAATGGGATCAAATCCGTTAAAAAAAAAGCACATGTTAAAATGTACACAACAAATATATATGAAATCAGTATTTAATATAAGTGTATATACTTGTACACACCCTCCGGAGAGCACAGGTGAGACGACCCGTACAAAAGGTGGATCAAAGGGAAAATTATCCTGTAGGAGAGAGAGAGAGTGAACATACAGAAAGGTTTTTATCCCTGAAAATGTGAGGAAAATCATGCGTTGCACTGACTTTATAAGAGAAATTGAGAAGAATGTAGTCAACTCCTTCCTTTTCCTTTAGAACCTGCAAGTCACTATGCAGCGGACTATCAGGGTCTACCCTGCAATGAAGATCAACAACATCAACTTCAACCACACTCCACTACTGGAGCCAAAACTACAAAACGCACGGCCATGAAAACTTACGTCCTCAACTTGACGTGCCATTCATAAAGGCTGTCACTGACTAGTTCCACTGAATAAATACCTGCAACGAAAGACACAGAAAACCAAACCTCAACCCAACGATCTAAAGGTGGTGGAAATGAAAAGGCGTGCAGCAGAGACATCCGGCCCACCTGTCTTGTAACTCTGTGATCTGTAGATCTCCCTGAGTTCCTTCATTAAACGGTCTGAGGCTTGGACCGAGCCGGAGACTGCACCCTGTAAGAGAAAACAGCCGGACTGAGCACAGAGACGACATGCACCTGAACAAACAGGGACCGACGGGCTCCACTGCAGGCCAAACACGCAGCGGTGAGATATGGTAAGAGCATTCTATAGTAAAACCCCAGAGAAGATTTTGGAGTCTACGTTTTTGTGTCCAACTTCCAGCAGGGTGCGACGTTTGAATTGTCGAGGCTGCAGCCTGGAGGTGTTGTTGACTGCAAATATGAGACGATCAGAACACTGAGGTTCAAACACATTTGTCTTGTTTTGGAAGGTGACGTTGTGCTGTGCTGCGGTGAAAAGTGAGAGCCAAGCTTTTTTTCCCCCCTCTCTCTTGTTTTTTCTGGAAGCTTTATCAATCTTTCTCAGTGCTTGGCCTCTGCTGCAGCAGCACAGGCTGCGGCCACACTGTGTGACATGAACAATGAGACTGGAATGTAACACAAAGCTACTGCTAGTCTGAATGTGCTGAACGAAAAGAGAAATATATATATATATATATGGTTTGTGTCCAGCTTTGATGTGAAGGAACAGGTTCACAATTTAGACACAGACCTGTTCATGTTCTCTCCGTGTACTGTCAGTGTATTACAGTGGACTCTGACTGTCTCTCCTCGATTAATCTTTAGATTAGAAGTCTTAATTAATTAAGCACAGAAATATTTTTTGTTATTAGGTTGCATCTTAAATTTGAAAATACTTAGACATATAACATCATTCTTTACCATTCAAATGCTACAAGATGTGGTTTTATTTCCTTGACATAGTCCATGTGCCCGTCAACAGTAAGCAGTCAGGCTGAAATTATTATTATTAACTACAATAATTACTGAAGCTAAATGACCTCTAGTAAATGTTGACAAAGTCATTATCACTTTGGCATTAAGGATACATTACTGAAGTGTTGACAGTAAATGTCATGAATCTCATTAATAGTCCTGTAAATGTTAAAAACTAGTGTCTAATAAATGGATCGTGAGTGTGTCTAAGACAAGAGAAGAGAAAATATTTTTTTTTAATGCTTAATGTTTTGAAGTTTGCTTTCAATCACACTGTTTAATTTTGAATAGTCTGCAGAGAACTGTCAGTTCTATGGCAGAAAGTTTCCTGTACTACGTATTAGATAAGAGGCTAAAGAAAAGCATTTGAATGTCTCACGTTCAGGTGATCCTGTCTCTGGTTTTTCCGAATCTTTTCTAGGATGGCCAGATTTTCTTTTTCTATCCCATCATCCTCAGACTTTTTTCCATCGACCGGCTCCTCCTCTTTCATGTCGTAATGATCCAGATCTTGGTCCAGGTCAATGTCCTGCTGCCACAGAGCAATTGTTGTATTTAGAACAGCATGGAAAACAGTGAATATGTCCAGTTAAAATGTCAGAAGTACAAAAGGCACCTCTCCCATTTCCTCCTCCTCTTCCTCTTCAGATGTCACCTCATCTGAAGGCCCGTGCTGTAGGAAAAGAGGAAAATACAATGTGAGAAAACAGTTGGTAACAAAAGCAACCAGACGTGCTCGTGTTTTTTATCAGCCTACCTTCCTGTCCTGGGTAATTGGACCAGCAGGGAGATGCTGGTCCAGCATTTCTACATCCGGATGTTGTGGGAGGTTGTTCAGTCGACACAGGTCACAAATCAGACGCTTCAGCTGTTGAAGGAGCTGAAATCAAATACAAATGATTTAAAATCCACCTGCAAAAACTGTTCCTCCATGTTCCTACACATCAGTACAACACAGTCACTGACTACATCAGGGCCACGTGACGATAAATTCTGTTAGGCCAGATGTTCAAACCATCAAAGTCAGTTGGTTCAGACTTTTTGGTAGCTAGTGGAGGTAACTTCAGAAGCTCGACCATAAGATATAAATGTGTTGAAAAACACTGATTGAACATTGATTTTCATATAGCAACACCCAGGTATTTAACTACTGCTCTTGTGGGAGTTTGTGGCAAAAACAGGTATTATTTATTCAACTTGGAGTTAATCTAACAATTTTCATTAAAGGAAATTGACAGTGACACATTGCTGAATAGTAAACACTTCAAGTCACATAAGTGATGCAGTGTGGATTGCATGTTGCTAGGTTACGGAGTGTGTTTCTTTAATAGTCTCATCTGATGTAGAAGTTTTGGATTCTTCTGCAGTTGTGATTCTCTCAGCTCCTCTCTGTATTTCCCAAAAGACTTTTTGAAGTAACTTATGCAATCAACACTTAAATAGAACACAGAGAACAGAATATAGACATCAAGTGTAAAGGTTCGCCAATACAAAGTTTACTCTCTTTGCCAACTGTTAATCATGGGGGTGGAAATATTGAAAACCTTTCAAGGCTGTGTAGCTGCCGGTGATACAGAGAGATTTTATTGAATGGTCAGCAAATTCTAGTTGTGAACACTCTGTAGTCGGACAAGAATTTGTATTCTGCAACAGCAAAAAGTTCCAAATTGGGACTCACTAAGAAACATAACCTGACTCCTCGTTTTGGCAGTAACTTTCTTTATTGCTTGCTTTTGGTTACTGAAGTGAATGACTTGTAAGTTTATACTACGCCAACACAAAGGAAATGATAGTCAATAAGTAACACTCAGATAAGAAAGTGACATCTCCCAGGAGCTGCAGAGCTATAGAAGTCAAATTAATGATTTGGTGTCATAGTGTGATGGTTGTAAAGTTAAATTACCAACAGCAAAACACCCAACTCCCTTCAAGGCTTTCTTGAACATGAACTTAAACAAAACATTTCAATGGATATATTTAACCTTTATTTTTTATGTAAGTGTTTTAATAACCTACTCTCTGATAATAGAATTTGATTAAAACAAATAACTGTAGAGGCATAGAGCCTGGCCTAAAGACCTTAGCACACCACAATTACTCTTAAAGCCTTTCAAGCTGCACAGTTTATGAATCTCTGTCAATAAATATTAATGCTGTCTGTTTAAGCCTATTTCCCTACTGAGCATTTGTCCATGGGCAAAC